TGGTGTGCTTATAGAACATAGTAAGACAAGTAGCTTTTTTTGTCTTTCCATATCAGCTTGAACCTTTCGGCTCTTCACGGATTTTCTCAGCCTCTCCTTCTAACTCTGTAACTCCTAAAACATCACCGCCTTCAGCTACGCCCGAACACTGCCCTACTTCTCTTCTTCTACTCTCATCTTTCTCCACCGCCGCAGCTTCAGTGTCTTCTCTGTTATAAGGATCACTGTTCAGATCTATCCTCCCTGTGCTCCCTTCCTTGTCTGCCTTATTCTTATCAGGCTCGCCCTGTTTCGCTTCCTTGTTTTCCTCATCTGCTGCTGCTGATCCATCACGCTCTAACTGCTTCTTCTTCCTCCTCATCATCAAAGTTTTGAACCTTCTCTTCACGGTGCTACACACGTTGCAGCCACAACTGGGCTTGTGCCTACCTTTCCCACTTGGCGGCTGAATGCACACAATGCAAGAGCATCCAACCCGGTGCCTTGGATGTCTGGTCGTGGTCGCAACCTCTGGCTCACCTAGAGTGTCTCCAAAGACTGCTGCACTCGCTAGGGCATCCAGACCCGACGGTTCTTGCTCAGTTTTTCCTCCCTGGCTTTCCCCAATTCGTCTCTTCTTGTACTCTAAATAAATTACAGACAGTTAGTGTCATGAGACTTAGAGATCTCAGTAAGCTGAGTATCTGTATGCCCTTAAAACATACCCAGGTAAGTACAACAATTTGTAATTTGTTTAAATCCCAAACATGACAACGGCACAACAAGCACAAAGAATTGACATGTATCCTGAATCTTTAATGCAAACCCCATTTATAAAATTCTTCCAGTACAACTACTTTAAAGCAGTCTCTCACACTAATGCAACAAGCTAATGAGAAGGAACCATAAGAGGCCAAGGTATAATAGATTTCATACCTTTCCCAACTTTAAGAGCATTCTCAAGTTCCTTCAGGCTCTCCTCCGGTGCAGAACACGAACACCTATCAATGGTATATCAAATTACAGACCTCAAGAAAAGAAAAAACAATTCTAAGTTGATCTTAGATTCAAACGACCATGACGAAAACACTTAAGGGAGTTCTTACCTGCTCTCATCCCAAACATTGTCTACACATGTCCACTTAAAGGGAAGAAGAGCATCTACCGGTAACCTTCTCCATTTAGAGCAGTCATCGCAAGATGCCCATCGTTCCTGTTCACTGGACCACAAAGAGAAATGTTAGTAAATTTCTAGCAAGCTGACGACAAGCACCAAGTGCAAGCATGAAAGTAAATCACAGGAGAAGATATATTGCCAATCATTTTTTTGACTCAAGCAGTGAGAGAAAGAACTCACCCTGAAGGTCTTGAAGTGATTATCGTCCTCTTCCCAAAGACAGGAGGTTCCTGTGCATAACATTAACAAGAACTATAACTTAGCTGAGGGCAGTGGAGCACAAAGTTAATCACATGAAACTCAAAATCAACACAATCTACCACTTACGTCAAATTCTTCAAATTCATGCTCCTCGATGACGACGATGCTAGGCTTTGCACTAGGAGCGGGACGAAGCAAGTCCTGAGTTTCTTCCCATGTGACTCTCAGCTCCATAGATTCTTCACTATGCAAAAGCAATCTCTTATTTTTTGTCCCAATGGTTCGAGTCCTCTTCTTTTCCTTAACCCGTGGCGGATCATCACACATCCTGCCTCCGTTAATCTCATTGTTCTTCAAGCTACTACCAGCATGAGGTGAGGTCAAATGCTCAGGCAAACCATTCATTTCTTTTGGTATTTGTGAGGGACCAGAGGAAGCATTAATGGACAGCGGGGTCTCTGTAACACCAGACGATGATGTGTCCTCGGTTGAAGTACCGTTGGTGAGACCACAACCCTGTTTATGAAGGATCAGGATAAGAATGGAGCTAAGCAGAACAAGAAAAAAAACAGCACATGCCTTCAAACCCCAGTTCATAGAGACCCCAACCTGCATGTCTCCAGTATTAGCTGCCTTCCTGGAACCCAGGATTAGTTTCCCGCCGGGATCAACCCGACTGAAAGTTACTGTACAAAGTAATAAAAGGTGCTAAAGAAAGCCACACGATGAGAGAATACAGAAAACTAACAATATATTCAGACTCTATTTGATGTTAATACCAGGAAAATAACGACGCTTTAGCTAAAACAAATACAATACTCATATGGGTACCGAGCGCTACCTGTATCACCAGCTTGCAGCATCATGGATTGTATGCAGGGAGTGACACCTTCTAAGACATACATTCTACTGTTGTTATTAGGCCAGAATCTGAACTGGAACGTCCACTCCTTACCCCTCACATCTTGGATTTTCAAAGGAATGCCTTCCGATTGACTAATGGGAGGAAAATATGCCTATATACCGTGCCAACTTCAGTCTTAAGATATTTCAAGGACAAGAGAAGAACACAGGAAAACACCATAGATATACGAAAATCACCTCTGCACAGGCTTTTGGAAGAACTAGACGACCAATGCGACCAGCATCACTGGCACTAAGAGTTTTCTCAAAAAGAGGTACAATGTTCAAATTTAAACTAATACTATTAAGGTAAACATAGACTCACCAGAACTGTATACAGAATAAAAATGATTGCAAAGATCACCAGAAAAAAAAAATTGAAGTCAAGGATACTTTCCCGAGATCTGCTGAACCTCTTTATCAGTATATTTTGGCCAATACCGGGGAAGTAAATGGCCTTTCCCTCGCCCTTCCACAGGAGGCCTCCCAATCCGCGGCGGCTGAGCAGACTTGCTAGTCCCAGGAGGAGTTGCAAGAGCAGATTTTGAAGGTTTTTGCAGTAAACTAGGCGCAGAGCATTGCAGCATATGGGACTGAGAAGCACCAATGTGGTTCTTCCCGTCAACAGCCTCGGTTGAAAAAGATGGGCTGTAAGGAATTACTGCCAACGCCATGTTCAAAGATGGCTGTGACGGTGACGATTCATTCATTTCCCCAGCGTCCACCCTATACCCGGCGGTGGTATTTTCCGGTTTCATAAGCTTACCAAACCCACGGTGAGGCATGAACTCTTCTCTTTTATCTCCGCCCAGGCCCAGTGGCTGAGAAAAGAGACCTGCTTCATTTCTTCCTACGTCGATATTCATTCCACTTTCCCCATTTATATGTTGCCTATCTGCCAAGGTTTGCATTGTTAATCTGCCAAATACACCTGGATTTTCATCCCTCTTATGCTGCAAAGAAAAGGACACAGAATCATTAGAAAGAAAAAAAAAACTCGAATATATTCAAAAAGGCGAGCCGAATCGAGCTAAACTCACCAAATTAACTTGATGGCAATTAGCACAGGTGGCACAACCAACACCACCATAGTCCATAAGCTCGACCATAAGCTTAGAAGCAATGCATCCACAATGAAGTCTCTGTCATTGCACAAAAATGCCAATCAGACACAACATTGCAGAGAACCAAAAGGAATCAAGAGTTTCACAAAACGAACCTTGCTACATAAAAAGCATTCCCTCCAACCAGATTGGTCCATATGGAATGTTTCACAGAAGAGAGAACTCTCATAAGCGGATCTATAGACACAATCAAACATCAAATCATATTTTTAATACCATAATAATCACTTATCTCTGTATTAATTCGGTACTATTTATAGATCAAAAACCAGAACACGACAATGAGACAGAACTAAGAGTAACGAAGATAAGGAAATCGAATCGGGTCATGTAAAGATGGAGACTTTAAAGTCAATAGACTGAAAAAATTGAAATTGAAGAGTGAAATAAAGAGAGATTTACCCGCAACGATAACAGAGATCAGCGAGAAGACCAGATCGAAGAGGCCAACCTTTCTTCCATTCGACAGTAGAAGTCGAACCACAAGATGCGTTCATGCACATCTTTAAACCCATTCTTGACTTTCAAAGACCAAACACAAAACCCTGGTTTTTTTTTCCCTAATCGAAAATCTCAAAACCCTAAGAAGACGGGAAGAATGAATCGACGTGGATTGAACAAGAGACTAGTCATGAAACATGCATCGACGTTGGTCAAATCGAAGTCGCGTTAGAGATCAGAGGAGGT